CAATAGTAATATTGATTACATTGTTTGCTTCACTATTCTCCATGGCTTTAAAAAAAGCCATAATTGACAGCAGAGCTGTCTCAGCAAGCACAGTTAGTTTATCTAGCAAGCAACAGCATACCATTGATTGCATAAACATAGTTTAGTTAAACTGGATTAATCTTGGTAGAAGTGAATTACCAACTTCAAGCCTTTAGTTTCTATATTATACAAACATATGAATTTGGATATTCAGTGAAACAACAAGTGTAATGTATACGCAAAAGATAGAGAAAAAAAATCCTCACCATTAAGGAATAACAAACAAACCTAACAGACTTGGGTTCTACTTTTACCATACTGTTGAAAATTACTTATGCCCAAAAGCCTTTGACTGCTACTTTAAACATGCTAACAAAACCAATTTACACATAATTACAATAAAAATTCAAACATATTACTTTAAACAAATTAATTAATCAAAATTAGTTCAAAAAACCGCAACATACCTCTTTATTGACATCAGGATGATACTTCAAAGCAAGTTTTCGATAAGCCCTTGATTTCATTAGGAGTTGCAGAGGGAGATACGCCTAACACTTCATAAGGAGACTCTCTCCTACTCGCTCTCACCAGGGTGTTATTGTAATTGGATCTTCTCTTCTTCTTCTGGTTTCTGTAACTGGGTGAAAAAGCCATGGGAGCCCACAAAAAAAGGTTGGAATTGGCTCCATAGCCGATTCTGCAGATGGGTATTAAAGATTGTGATTGGTTTTGGGTATTTAGAAAGCAGCGGTGAGTTATGGATCTTGAAGAAAGAAGAAGCGGAACGGAGAAGAGCTTGATTGGCGTTAGAACCGCAGCAAATCCATGCATATTCGTGAAGTCATAAGCCGTGTTTTTCACCAGACATTTTTGGATGGTGGCAATCTATAATCCACATTTATCGTGTTGTAAATCAACGGTCGGAGGTCATTGATCATGACCCAACGAATTTACCAAATACCCATCTCGTCTTTTCATGTCCCTACATGTATATTACGTTCATTACGGATAAGAAACTAGTGCGAACCTGTTTGTATTTGGAAGTCGGTTGGGCCGTTCATGGCGGTGCATTTGGGGTGTCCTTTCATTGATTCAAACGTTTGTTACTTTCCTCAGAGTGCCAAGGGCGCATTGAACTGCAAAAGCTCAGCAACGTAGTGATCTCTTCAGAGAATGTTGTTGAATCACAAAGGTTGAGCAATGCATGTAATGTGCTTGATAGAATGCCCGAACGAATTAGCTTCTCAACTCTGGAGTTCGATTGCAGTGAATGCATGGAAGAAGTTGAATTGGGTATTGGAGAAAGAAGATGTTTTGCAGATATTAATACTCCTGATGATTGTCTGGGAGGGTGCTGTGTGGATGGCGTGCCAGATTTGTGTTCTTCTGCAAGCAATGTGATCGATAGGCACCATGCGACCATTTTTCTGAGTTTCTGTAGTGGGGAAGGATGTCTTGAACTTGGCAAGATATGCCATGGCTTAGTCATAAAGAATGGACTGTGTGGCGACAAGTTTGTGTGTACCAGCCTTGTTAATATGTATGCAAAATGTAGTGTCATGGAAGATGCTGTGATGGTCTACCAACAGATGCCCTATTCAGATATTGCCTCACGTAATTGCTTGATATCAGGTTATGCAAGCAATGGGTTGTTCAATAAAGCTTTTGGTTTCTTCATTGAATCGGGGAATTTGGGTATCTGGCCAAACCACTACTCGTATTCAATCATGTTAACTGCTTGTGGAAATCTCCTAGCAATCCAAGAAGGGAAACAGTTCCATGCCCAACTAGTGAAAACACAGTATTTATCTAAAACAGCAGTAGCTAATGCGCTTCTGACAATGTATAGCAAGTGTGGGATGATGAAAGAGGCTGAAACTTTGTTTCAGAATATATCCCAAAAAAGTCTTGTATCTTGGTCTGCAATAATGTCCGGACTTTTCCAGCACAAGTCTTCAGAGAAGGCCTTGAGCCAATTCTACTTAATGAGGGACAATGGGATAGAACCAAATGAGCATACTTTTACTATTGCTCTTGCATCATGTGGAAGTATGAAGCATCTTGATTGTGGCCGTGCTCTTCATTGTCAAGTGATTAAAAGTGGAATGGTTTCAAGTGTGTTTGTGGGCACTACAGTGATAGACATGTATGCAGAACTTGGAGAAATGGGTTATGCAGAAACACAGCTTCAAGAAATGGGAGGAATGGCATCAAACGTTTCATGGAATGCACTAGTAGCAGGGTTTGTTCGCAACAAGAAGACCAAGGCGGCCCTAGAGGCTTTCCATAACATGGTTAAGGATGATACTGCATGTGATGAGTTCACCTATTCAGTTACTTTAACAGCTTGGTCTTTATTGCCGTCCTTGGCAACTTGCAAGCAGATCCATTCTCGGATAGTGAAAGCCAACTTTGGAGCAAACTTGCATGTCGGAAGTTCACTAGTAGAAGCTTATGCCAAGTGTGGTAATTTAAAGGATGCCAAGCAGGTTTTCCATAAGTTATCGATGCCTGATGTGGTTTTGTGGAATTCAATGATTAAAGCTCATTCACAATATGGTCATCCAAAGAAATCTATGTCCTTGTTCACAAAGATGATAAAAGAAAAGATAAAGCCAAATAGTTCTACTTTCCTTGCAATTCTTTCTGCTTGTAGTCATGCCGGATTAGTTCAAGAAGGCCAAGAGTTCTTTGAATATATGGTGAGAGAGTATAATATCCCACCAGAAGAGACTCACTATAGCTGCATGGTTGACTTACTGGGTAGATCAGTGCAACTGGAGAAAGCTTTGGATTTCGTAAACAATTTGCCAATCAAACCTACTGCTCCAGTTTGGAGATCATTACTTGCAGCTTGCAGATGTCATGGTAATCTTCAATTAGCAGAGTTGGTAGGCAAGCATATATTAGCATTAGACCCAAAAGACGCAACAGTTTATGTCACCCTTTCAAACATGTATGCTGAAGTAGGAAGACATTTTGATGCAGAAAGACAGAGAGTTAATGGAGCTGGAGGAGGTTACAAAGGAACCGGGATGCAGCTGGATTGAGGTTAAGAACAGAACATACAAATTCTTTTCGGGCGACAGAACACACACTGAAATGCCAAAGGTGTATGAGAAATTGAAGCAATTGATGAGACAGATTAGAGATGTCAAGTATGCTTCCAACTCAACACCTGCATTCAATGAAGGAAAGATTTTATACCACAGCGAAAAACTGGCAGTTTGCTTCGGCCTTATAAGCCTACCAGATGGAATTCCAATTCAAGTATTCAAGAATCTTCAAGTGTGCGTGGATTGTCATTCGACAATGAAACATATATCAAAAATTACAAAACGAGACATAATTCTGAGGGATAACTACAGGTTTCATCACTTCCAGCAGGGTAGATGTTCTTGTGGGGATTTTTGGTGATATTAATGTAATGGGTTGCTCCATAGACAGAATACTTGCTTTAGATGAGCTCATGCTAGTTATTTAGTAAAATGCTAACATAATGTAGAGTCATTTGGCTCTCATAAGCCAAATAAATATGGGTCTCACCAGAGAGAGCTTTGAATTGAAAGTGAACCAGATTAGACAAAGAACTTCCTTATTAAATGTGAAATAAGGATCTTCTCCACTGTTCAGTCGATTGAATTGTAATCCAAATCTAATTCGAGTTTGAATCCTATTAGTTGGATGTATATTAACATTTTTTCCCATTAGCCCAAATTTTCATAAACGGTTTTTGCACCAAAAAAAAAAATCCAACAATCAATAAAAAATGTTAAGATACACTCCTAATTTTTTAACATCGACCCAGCAATGAGATGCAAGACAAACACTCCCGTTCTTGGGATTCTCGCTTTTGTCATATAGATGGACCCATCGTAAAATGTTACTTCAATTTTTAATATATGCCTATACATTTACATGGGTAGGTAGGTTCATAATTCATACATGTATCGATAGACTCTCCTATTGAAATGTTGTATGTTTTTGTTGGCACGTTTTTGCCATGAGATCCTTTCTCATTCGGACAAATATATCTAGAACCCAGAATGGAGTCCTCATCAAGTACCGTTCTTTTCAATCATCATCCGATGCTTACACACAACTCATAGAATCGTATGCTCGTGATCGAGCCTTACAATCAGGCAGAGTCCTACATGCGCACCTGATCATCAGTGGATTAGCTCGTTTGACCCATTTTGCCTCCAAGCTCATAGCTTTCTACACCGGGTGTAGGCGGTTGTTTGATGCTCGAAAACTGTTCGACAAAATTCCCCAAACAAATATCCGCCGTTGGATCGTACTGATCGGGGTCTATGCCAGAAATGGCCTTCATGAGGAGGCAATGACTGTTTTCTGTGAAATGCAACAAGAAGGTTTAAAACCCAACAAGTTTGTTCTTCCCAGTGTTCTCAAAGCCTGTGCACACCTCTCTGATTTGCAAACTGGAGAGAAGATACATACTGTTGTTCTGAAATATGAATTTGAATCAGATGCTTTTATCATTAGCGCGTTAATAGATATGTACTCAAAATGCAGGCAAATTGAGAAGGCCAGGAGGGTTTTTGATGGGATGGTTGAAAAAGATTTGGTGGCACTGAATGCCATGGTTGCAGGGTATGTTCAACATGAGTTTGTCAAAACAGCATTGGGTCTGGTTGTGAAAATGCGATTAATCGGAGTGAAGCCTAATGTAGTGACATGGAATACATTAATCGCAGGTTTTTCGCAAGCAGGTGACGAAGTGATGGTTTCTGAAATTGTCAAATTGATGCGCATTGATGGAGTTGAACCTGATGTGGTATCATGGACTTCTGTTATATCTGGGTATGTTCAGAACTTCCATGGTGATGAAGCTTTTCGTACGTTTAAAGAAATGCTGGATCATGGATTGTATCCAAGTTCAGCAACAATTAGTAGTCTTTTGCCAGCTTGTGCAAGTGTAGCAGAATTGAAGCATGGGAAGGAGGTTCATGGCTATGCAATGGCGATTGGAGTCGAGGAGGATATTTTTGTAAGGAGTGCTCTTATTGACATGTATGCAAAATGTGGTTATCTATACGAAGCAAAGACACTGTTTCAGAAGATGTCTGAGAAGAACACGGTTACTTGGAACTCCATGATATTTGGATATGCAAATCATGGATACTGCAATGAGGCGATTGAACTTTTTAATCAAATGGTAACAAAAGAGGAAAAGAAATTGGACCACTTGACTTTCACTGCGGCTCTCACTGCTTGTAGCCATGCTGGGAAGATCGAACTTGGACAGAATTTGTTCCACTTGATGCAGGAAAACTATGGGATCAAACCAAGATTAGAGCATTATGCGTGCATGGTGGATCTTCTTGGTAAAGCAAACAAACTTGTTGAGGCATATGATTTGATTCAAGCGATGCCGATGGAGCCTGACTTATTTGTATGGGGAGCATTATTAGGGGCATGCAGGCATCATGGCAATATTGACCTTGCAGAAATAGCAACTAGGCAACTGTCTAAGCTTGAGCCTGAGAGTGCTGGAAGCAGTTTGTTGATGTCAAGTTTATATGCTGATGCTGGTAGTTGGAGAAATGTTGTGAGGGTGAAAAACATGATGAAGAAAAGGAGGTTGAGAAAATTTCCTGGCTGTAGTTGGATAGAGACCCCCTGAAACGTGATAATGCTATTAGAGAAGTACGTTGTGATTTTTGGGTTGCAACAATGAAGGCATCTTGGTACCTTATGGTTGATCTTCTTGACTCATGCTCTTCTCCAGTTTTTCTGCAGAGCTGCCATTCCATAGTTGCTGTTGGGTAAATCAGCATAATTATACATAATTTTAATTAATAAATTCATATCAATATCACATAAACAAACACAAAATAACAATGAACTTAAAATGAAATAAAATAGATACTATAAATTAGAAAGAGTTGACCTGCGAGTCTGAGAGTCGTGTGAACACTGTCCTAAAACAACTAAGCCTCCCCACGTGAGGGTACTGACGGACACCAACGACTTCAAGATCAAACTCAAACGCTCGCAGTAGCACATCCTCAATAGTCACGCCCACTGGAAAAAAGTGGTGAACCTAACTCGAATTGAAGTTGCCCGAAGTAAACTAATACCAAATATTTGTAGATATGAAAATTTAATAATAGACAAAAAAGAAATATGTAGAAATAATAGCAACACTTGATGAAAGAGGAGTATATAGAAAAAATAGTATATCTACTCTTCTTCTATCCAAAACCACCACCTTATTTTGTAGGCACCGTCTTAATTACTCTTGAATAATAGATTTTAAAATATATTAGTATGTAACTTCCAAGCTATTAAGTTTATATCAATTTTATAATTAAATGACATGAACACGCAAGAATTAAATTGCAATGGTAAAGTTTAAAACTGAAAAATTAAAACAAAATAATTAGTTATGTAGTTTTTAAAACTTTTATTCTAATTTATTCTAACAATTTTTCATAAGTTTTGAAAACTTCGAAATGGCCCAAATATATTTATATAATAGATAGAAAATATGGGCAACTATTATACTGTGCAATGAGTGTAAGTGTCTTTCGAACTTGAACCTCACTTAGTGTTAATAATCTCCCCCTGAAGGATTATAGTGACGAAAGGCTTGAACTAGCCCCTTTGAGCCAGAGTTCAACTATCACACACACACAGAGTACAGATATTGGTCAGGATTCGCAGGTCAGTGCTATTAATGACCATGCACTTAATCTTGATTCTCATGAGAGTTTATAGAAAATAGCACAATTCTCATAGTCGCGGCCTCACGACTACTCTCACTTAGGTGAGCCCTCCAAGGATACATGTGCACAATACCCTGCAGGAGTGTTTCTGTCTCGATCTTATTCAGGACATAATCCTTCTTTACCGTCACACTACATATGCACTTCTGCCATAGGGATGAACATAAAAATATCTCATCTTAGGATATTTTCTCATCAATGGTGCTAATGAGTCACGCAATATGAATTGTTTCTACCCATTGAACTTCCTTCATGGGGTCTCCAATCACAGAAGTTGAGTTACTTTCCTAGGTGACTCCCTTGCGGGCTTAAACCTATCCCCTCGACAGTTCTTGAGATAGCTTTTTTCAAAAGCAAGGCTTTTCACGAAAGCTCATTGATCAAATTAATCAGCCTTTATATATATTTGTGTCTCACAGTTTTCCTCGAAAGCTTTTTAATTCATTTGTCAGCTCTATTTAGTTGAGTTTTCATAAATATTAGAATGATTACTCTTCACATGTTCATGTCTCGCTGGGTGTGCACACCTTCATATCTTCTCATTGATATTGATTTGACCTATCTTTCAAATAACACTCACGAACAACACATTAAAATGCATTTGTTTGAAAAACCCTTAGATATGAAAGTCCCCCACACACATATGAAACTCTTATAACAACATTAAGCAAATTCAGCAGGTACTTCATATATATTTTATTACCTTAAAATTTAACCCCCACATTTCCAAGAATTCTCTTGCCTAATTGATTCGTGCTTCATAAAATTAGCATTTGCATCAGCCCCCACATTGCAAGAATTTCTTGGCCCCACGGTTGGCTTACATCACATATTGAACAAATTGAATTCAAGGAATGCTTCTAAAAATAAAATGAACTTAGTCTTGGAACAATTCTTATGTACAGTCTTTCTCATAAAACATTAAAACGTAAATCCAAACTATCTCCAAAGGTTACATAAAATATTAAAGCATCAATAAGAAATAAACCTTGACACTGAAGCTAATTGTATAAAGACATCACATTATTAACAAAACCATATGTCTCTTTCCGAAGTTTATCATGCATTTTGACATTCTTGGATTAATCCATATGGCATCTAAATCTTTATAATGGTATAAACTTTAATTGGATTAATGTCTCTATTATTGTCAAAATATTTTGACGAGTTTGGAAATAGTAAATCCTATACCAACATCCCCATTACAGCCCAATCATTCGCACCAAAAATAATTGTGTTGCAAGTATTAAAATCCATACCTATGAGAAGCTCCTTATAGGAATGACTCAATAACGTTAACTCAAGATACCATTTCAGTGTCAAATATCACCAATGACCAATCACGTACTAGATATATATAAAACTAAAATGCTAAATATATAGCTGTTTTTTTTTTTTAAATGATCACAAACTGCATAAGATCCCTCTAACTAATGTGATTTAGTTATCACATGTATATATGCTCATGCAATGAAGTTTGTGCCCAATAATTTCAAGCATAATATCTGTAGTAAAAGCGATGGTGTTCTACATTCACAGTAAAACTAAGGATAATCACCTATTGATCTGAGATTTAATATCTGAAATTTCAATCAGCAAATAACTATTAGGCCCCCACTAATTTTGAAATAATATTAGACGCATAGGCTACTTAAATTTAATGAGATGAATAAAACAGTTTGTATTGTAAGAAATCTAATGGTGGACTAATAGTCGAAAACCTTGAAGAAAGTTTATACCTCACAATTGATATTTACATGAATCATGTATATTAAAGTACTTAAATGAATATAATAAATAGATGCCAACCAACGACGGCTCATATGAAATTAACAGGCAAATAAACAATTACAACATAGAGCATCCTATAGAAATTGAGCTTTAAAATCAAATGACCGTTACTTTTCATTCAATATCTTGAATTATAGCTTCAAATAACCAATGACTGCTATGTAATATTTTGAAGGAATTATGCACAATGTGGACTTCATTGTTAAATTACTACATGAATTGCTCTCCCGATTCTTTCATTAGTAAATGGGTTCCAACCTATAAGACCATGCAAAACTCCAACTTGGGTTTTATCAGATCCAAGTAAACTATATTTCGACAGATCCAGAAATTTAAACAAATACTTTCCTTCAAATTTCTCTCGAATTCACAACCACAACTAAAATGTCAAAACAAAATCACCGACCATAGTCCATCAGTACCATTAGTAGGCCGTAGAATGTGGGAGGTGTCATACAATAACGAATAGTTATAGTAGCCTATAACCTTAACCATAATTACAGTAGTGATATCACAAACATATAACAGCCCACTAGTTAATTAAATTTTATTATAGAATGTTGTTATGGTCCAAAAATGTTAATGACAAAACTGATTTGGTAATCAAAGACTATACGGAAACAAATGTATTCCTTTATATTCATGTTCCACAGATGCATCATTTATATATGAGATGGCTTTGAATAAAATTTGAAATAATTATCCATAAAGTATGTCTTATAATTCTACTAGCCTCATATTTTTCTATGTCTACACTTGTTTTCTTTTATAGAAATTTAAGTTTCTGTTTGTCTAAATTTTTTTTAAAGCAAGTAGCTACTGACTATTTATCAGAAAACTATTTTTTTTTCCAGAATACTATTTTTCCAGAAAAATTCAGGAAGTAAAAAGAACTAGGTAATTCTTTGGATGATCTTGTTGAGCTCTTGCTCAGGTCCTAAATATCAAACCCTTGTCAGGGAATTGATGGAATCATTGCTCACACGCCTCAAAATTCAAGGTTATACTGGGGGGTTATGACGATACTATTAGAATATGAAAATAACTTCGGCATGTGATGTCAATATAAATGTGCTGCTTCATGGAAAGGAGAGGAGGTAAGGTTGCCTCGAATTTAGCAGTTATCAAGTGGATGAGACGCTGCAGTTGAGGAGTCTAGGCCATGTAGAAACAGGCCTGAGAATTTATGAGCTAGCTGGATGGCTCTGCTTGACATATGAATAAAAATGGAGAAGTACCAGAGTGGAAGAAGACTACTGATTGGCTTTGCTATAATTTCCCAGAAAGATTTCAAGAATGAGAATTTTATCATTTGAGTGGATTTTTGCAACTTTGGTTTGCAAAGTGTGAATGGAGTGTGTTTTAACCAATTATTGATCAATACGGTCGATAAAAAGAAAAAAAATGAGCTCAATTCTATCTTCTTTCTTTGGCGCTTACAACCCACCTTACCCAAATATTTATGTGCATCTTGCAACATACAAATCCTCAACAAGTGAACAGTGTAATGATCGGGGCTTGTATTATGTGATGCTTCCAGTATTATTAGTTTGTTTTTTTTTTCCAACCTTACAATTCTCATTTTCCACTTAATCCCTATCCACAAGTACTGTAGATGGCAAGCAAGAAAGATGACACTGATATCTCAGCTGCTTTAGATTGTTGGGTAAATTAGCATAATTACACATAATTTTAATTAATAAATTCATATCAATATCACATAAACAAACACAAAATAACAATTAACTTAAAATGAAATAAAATAGATACTACAAATTAGAAAGAGCTGGTCTGCGAGTCTGAGAGTCGTGTGAACACTGTCCTAAAGCAGCTGAGCTTCCCTGCATGAAGGTACTGACGGACACCAGCGACTCCAAGATCAAACCCAGATGCTCGCAGTAGCACCTCCTCAATGGTCACGCCCACTAAAAAGAAGGGGGAACCTAACTCGAATCGAAGTTGTCCGAAATAAACTAATACCAAATATTTGTAGGTATGCAAATGTAATAATAGACAAAAAGAAATATGTAGAAATAATAACAACACTTGATGGAAGAGGAGTATATAAAAAAAATGGTATATCTACCCTTTTTCTATCCAAAACCACCACCTTGTTTTATAGGCACCGTCTTAATTATTCTTGAATAATAGGTTTTAAAATATATTAGTACGTAACTTCCGAGCTATTAAATTTATATCAATTTTATAATTAAATGACATGAACATGCAAGAATTAAATTGCAATAGTAAAGTTTAAAACTGAAAAATTAAAACAATATAATTAGTTATGTAGTTTTTAAAACTTTTATTTTTATTTATTCTAACAGTTGCATCCCTTTGGATCTCTTGTCATCTGTCACTCAATTCTCCAATGTACCATTACAGACCTTGAACTTACGGCAATCCCAAATACGTGATGTTGTAGTTGATGTTTGGAACGGCTGGACATTTCAGCTGTGGAAGATTATATGCACTTGAGATATGCAATGAGTTGCAGGATCGGACATATCTGTTGTGGAAGATTATATGCACCCAAGAAATGTAATGAGTTGAAGGATCGTCGTAGATAGTTTTGGCTGTACATGCCTGACTGCCACTTTCTTAGTAGAAAGGGTCCGGATCACTGGGAACCATTTTACACGGCAAAGAAAACGCGCTGCAAATTATGGAAAATGGTAGAGCAACCCAATTCAAGATATAGGACTGATATTATGAATGGTTGTCCAAAGCATACACGAGGAGGAAAGAAGAGAAGGTGGTAGCAAGACAGTGATGCAAAGATGGTACTAGAAAGACTCTTCTCGGAGGATTTATGATCGGAACTATGGAAGACTAAAGAAACTCTGAATTGAACCAGGAAAAAGTCTGGAGGGAATCAATGAAGGGTTACCAATGGCACACTTAGTGCAAGATAGCAGATACAGTTTCTCTCTCATTCCCTCGTCTATGATGGAGAAAAGTTTTCAGATGGGTCATCAACACCCTACACTCTGCAGTAAGATTTATAGGCTATAGGTATATCAGTTTAAATGAAAAATGATTCTGCAGTGGTTGTCATTCAGATCGCAGGTACTACTTGGCGGCCGAACATTTATGGAGGAGGAGAAAGAATCCTGTTAGTGTTTCTGACAGGAACATGCCGATCCTCACTGCGGTTCAAAGAAATGTTTACAGCTTAAATTTCAGTATAGTTTTTTTAGCTGACCAAGGTTCGTTGTTTCTGTGTATTCATTGTCATCTCGGTCAATAGATTAGTGGGTCGTTCATGGTTTTGACTAAGGACCCATTCAATTTGGTTTAATTTGCCCGTTGTATCAACATGAACCTTTTTCACAACAGGGTCGCCCGCGGGTATCGTCTTTGGCAAACGTTTTTGTTATAAGAACTGTTTACTCTTTTGATAATCTTGAATATGAATCATAACAGAAGGCTTTCAACATTTTTTTTTTTGCATCCATGAAAGCTAGTTCTTTGTACCAATCTTTGAAAAAAGTTCCCAGGGACTCACTTGGAATCTTTAACCTGATCCTCATCGTTACCTTCAACCAAGGGATAGTTTTTAAATTCTCACACCAGTCACATTCCTTTACTTACATTCGAAAATAACCCTTAAAAATGATACGTACTTCTATCACTGGGGAGAACAACTTCCAACCCACCAACCAAAGAAAACAGCATAGCCCCTATAGAAGTCCTCACCGAAGTTCTATACCCCCCTTATGGAAATGGTAGTTTCTCATTCCAATCCTCATGTGTCTGCCAATCTTATGCAAAACTTGCTTTGTTGCTGAAAGAGTAACAAACGAGTTAGGAATATATACTTAACAGCTTGCTTTCCTATATACAAATTATCGATAATATTTCACTAACCACCCCCACGGCCCCACTATTATGTAATTGGGGAACAGACCTTAAGGGAGGATGGAAATGAATAAAACCAAAATGTAAAAATCGTTTATTTTAAATGCTTAGGTCACAAATGATAACGTCACAAAATACCAGAATTCAAGAACTGCTGACAACCTTTTTGCTAACTTCAATTTTGAACTATAGATTTGTTGCTAAAAAAAAGGTTCAATTCAGTCATTGCTACACCAGAACACACAATCTTAAACAATAAAAGAACGGGTCAGGCATATACTTAACAACTTGCAGTTGACAGGCCTGAATTCTTTCAACATAAACTTCCTTCCACTTGAATGCATCCCCGGAAAAATCTGGAACAGAAAGAAGTTTCATCTTTGTCTCTTTCTTAACTAATCCCAAATCGTACTGATATACACATCAAAGTGTCTCCAACGATTTCTTTAAAACTTCTCCCATGTCTGGCAGATCCAGAATTATCAAACAAGCTATACATTGGAAGTGGAGTCCTATAGTTAAAAGGTTTGAGAAATTCTCAAGCTCCTGAATCCATAGTAAAGCGGTAAAGCATAAAAATATGCAAATTGGAATTTTGATTCAATACTTCAAACGAGAAAAGCATAAAGTACTAAATCAGTGAAAAGCAAGTAGGAAAATTACGTTTTGTAATTAGAAGATCCCATGGTTAGACAAATCAATATGAAAAAAATCTATGCTAGTTTTTGTCACTACAAATATGCTGCATGATCTACATTTCATCCTCACTTTTTATACATGCAAACATGTTTCATATGATTGCTTGAGGGCACATCTAGATGCCCCAAATTTTTACATGGCTCCATTGGGTGGGTTTACGTAGCAATTGATCATCTTTAAGATGTGGCCATCAAGAAATTTGAAGCCATAACCATACAGATTGTACAAAATCAGCCATACCATTTCATGAAATGCCACCATCTCATATACTTGCCTTCGTTAGAGATGATGCATCCCATTCTCTCTAGTGTGCCAATGAAGAATTTCTCATAATTAGATATGAACCATAATTGGGCAATTTAGTTTTGCCAAACCAAGCCTATCCTAAATTATGGCTGGTACCATTCTTACAATCACAAGAATGAGCATAAAAATAAGTAACTTCCACAGGAGAAATAGATGCAATGTTCCATGGAATGACAATTAGCAACAATAACCACTTCAAGTTCAAACATGCAAAGCCCGTGAATGTCTAACAAAAAGAGAGGCAATTTGGAATTATATAAATAAAGTAACCATGTATCTGATAGCATGAAGAAACACTGCAGCAGAAGCATGTTATTGTCAATACAAGAGAGATGGTTATAGAAAGCAACAGAATATAATTACTGCCCACTTGATAACAGTTAATGATCTATGATATCACAAGAAACTACAAGGAAACTCAATATGTTGAAAACCACTTACTTGTAAAAGAGAGCAGTAACAGGTCAGTGAACCAAAATTCACCCCTTTAGGATGATGATTCGTGGTGAGCAGATAGTAGGTCTGAAATATGAGAAATCTGATCCAAATTTGTCTTGCATAGTGCAATGACAAAAGTGTCGGACTAAGTTAACAATTATGTGATTGTGAATTCGAATCTACGGGCAGTCATTTTTGGGCCAGTAATGGCAAGTGTTAGACATGTACCCAATCCACTCCTCTCAATATCCGCAATTAACAGGGAACAACCTGAGTAACGAACCAATAGTCGGGTAGATAACACATAAGTTTAATGCTTAACAACCCTAAGAAATCAAAAGCTCAACTACCTAGTTGAAGAAATGTACAAATCCAACCCTTTACTCCCTTATCCTAAGAAATCGAATGTTTGTCTCAATAAGAGGAATTTGAACTTCAGCAATTTTTTATCACTAACACTTAAACCATCGGTTCCCCCAGCCCCAATGAGGTGTTTCCCTTAATTCTATGCCTCATCACAACATCCTGGTGCATTACATTTTATAAGAAGCCAACCTTTCTCTCTACCAGTTGACTTTAAGCAATCATAGGCAAATCTTTTAACCAAGTCAAACCAGGACATTCAATAAAAATGAGCTTCATGTGATACTTGGCAATCAAAACTAGTTATTGATCTAAACCAAGCAAACAAAAACATGTAATTCCTTCAGAGAAGGTCCTAGTTCTGTTCAACCGAGTCATAGTTTTGAAGCAATAAGTCCAACATTAGTCTTGTATCATCAAATGTAAGCTCCTTTATTCACAACAAGGAAAATAAAATACAGCAGCATATACTAGATCGCAATAGAAATTAGTTATACGTTTGACAATCAAACAGAGTGAATTGTCTAAAGAAATCCTAGCTGTAATTCACCGAGTCACAAACCCGAAGCATAGAATCCAGTACCAACCCTGTATAACCATTAATAATCTGCAAAATTATCCCCGCAGACATAAAATGACATAGAATCGCAAAAGAAACCTCCAGTACATTACTCACCTCTCTGTTCGCTATCAACCTATCTCCGACAATCATTGATCATCATGAGTAACTCGGTGAAGCGACGGAACAAACCCAAAATTATTGCCAGACCAATCCCTCTGCTGCAACATATTATACGGATTATGATGCGACTCGAAACCCCCAGGCGCACCCAGATTCGCCATGGGCATTCCCATATGCCCGTGACCTTGATGACTCATCCCAAGCAGAGGCATAGGCATAGGCATCATCTGCGGTGGATACGGCATCGGAATCGGCATCCCCATATGCCCATTACCATTGCTATTACTGTTATGTTGTCCATGCTCACTCCCACCGGATTCATTTAAGCTCTGCGGCACCGGCGTGGACGCCAACAAATGATCCGATGACGACGGCCCCTGCATCCTTTTCAGGTATAGCCTATACTTCTGCAAATGACTAGCAACGTTCTCGCGAGTCAATCCCTCTACGTTCATCAACTGCATAATCGTTTTCGGCACCGCGGTTTTTATTCCTAAATGAGCCACCACGTCGACAAACCTTTTGTGTAGCTGCGGAGTCCAAACCAAACGAGGTCGCTTTAGAGTTCTCGCCGATGGGTCATCGGTGCAGTTCTCCGTCTGTAAAGCCGATTCGGCTTCTTCTGCCCCTACACCGCCTTCGATTTTACGAAATTTTCTCAAATCCGAACCTTCTCGACTCAGATCCGTCTCGTCTCCTTCCACAACCATCGGGTCTATGGCTTTGTTTTCGTCGAAAGACTTGAAATTGAAGCTGTTCGATGAAGATAAAGCTTGAGATTGTCCCCGAATTCTAGACAGAGTGTTCTGCGAGGCTCGATTGACTTCGAGCACGCTCCGGCGGGGCTCCGGTGAAATACTAAACGCCGAGGCCAGCTGAGGCGGAATCAACGTCTGAGATAAAGGCGTTAGATCATCGGCGGTAGGAAGACCCACCTCCCACTCTGCCACTCGGTCCTCGTCTCCGCCACCGTCCTCGCCTCCATTGTCGGTGATTCTCACTTCTTCGCCCATATCAACAACTTCAGTTGATCAATCACACAATTTTAGGGCCTTTGGTTTCAAATTTAATGAAAAAAGTCGGAGAGAATTGAGGAGAGAGTGGGGGAGGGAGAAGACTGTTGGAAGATATTTCGGAAAGCTTCGAGAGGGAGAGAAGGGGGGAGAGAGAGAGAGAGAGAGAAGGGCAGTTTGGGCTTTGGATTTGGGCTGAAAAGGGCAACGAAGAGGGAATTAATAAGTAGAAAAAAGTAGAAAAGGTCAGAAAAAGTGCAAAGATCTGATTTCAGATGGGTTCTAATCCAGTCCTGGTGCCAACGTGGACGCCTTAGCTAGATATTTTTGATCCTCTAAATATCTCTCTCCTCCTCCCACACTCGCTTCATGGAAGCTTGTTCTTTTAAACATTTAATCATTTAATATTTTTTTTTATTTTATTATTCTTATAACAAATAATTAAAAAAACTTAAAACAATATCTAAGATCGATAATTGATTTTTAAATTTTGAAATCTTTGTCTTACCTTAAAAGTCATTCAAAAAAAAACAGTTAATCATATTTTTTATTCTTACTAAAAAAGATAAGCTTGACAATAACATAATCTTTTGATCGAGAATAATTTGAAATTTGTATATTATAATATTTAAAAATTTTATTGGGTGTGACGTGTTGGTATTACCAATATTGAGACTTAGTATTAAGACATAATCTAAAAGACAAGTTGCATTACGATAATGTAGGTATTATAAGTTCGAAACTTAAAATCATATTTTTTTGGAGATAAGATCATTTGAATGCAATTTTTTTTTAAATTTTATATAATAAAGTACAATAGAATTCAAACCTTAAAAGATAAACAAAATAATTTTTGTTATTCGCGGTTGAAGTCTCTTTAAATTTTACTTTAAAGTTAATCTGATAGTTAATATTAACACTCCAAATTGAATATGAAAAATATGGCCCTAAGGGTGTGTTTGAGTGACTTTTTAAAAGTATTTTCAATATTTATAACTTCTCATAAGTACTTAAAAAAAATAATAGTGTCTGAAAATCGCCCCACCAAACACCTTTACCACCACCAACCCCACCGCCACACCACAATTACCACTACCACTACCGCCAACACCCTCCACCACCATCACAACAACTGTCGCAATGCTATCACACTCATTGCCCCACTACCACTATCACTATCACTGCCACTACTGTCACCCCACCATCACCTCTTCCACAGTAACCACCACCATCACCCTCATTACCTCCATTATCGTAACCCCACCACCACCATTGTGACCGCCACATTATCATCGTTGTCACTATCCCACCAATATCCCCTACCACATCACCCCCATTAAAACCGATTGTCATCATCTACCACAACTATCATCATCTTCCACCATCACTACTTTTGCTCGTCCTCGCTATAACCTGTGCTTAAATTTATTTATTTCTCTTATATCTTTGTAATTTGATTTTATGTGTAAATACAAATATGTTTATTGTTGACCATTTTTTTTTAGTATTCTATGTCTTTAGGCACGAAAAATAACTAGTAGATCTATATAATAAAGTACAATAAATCTCAAAAAATAAAAAATAAATAACTGTTGCTATTCGCGATTGAGATCTCTTTCAATTTTACTTTAAAATTAGTTCGACGACTAATATTAACACTCTAAAATTAATAGGAAAAATAAGGTCATAAAGGTGTGTTTGGGATAATAATTTCTCATAAATACTTTTAAAAAAAAATAGTGTTTGAAACCACCATCATCACCCCCATCACCCCACCACTATCACCATTACCATCACCACCCCCCACCACCATTACCATTACCACAGCCGCAACCACCCCACCACTAAACTACCCCCTCACCATGACCACTACCATTACTATCTCTACTGTCGCCACTCTACAACCACCACCAATGTCACCAACCACCACCATCACCACTACTACCACCCTCCGCCCCTTACTACTATCGTTGTTGTTGTCACCATATCACTCCCTATCATCACCACCATTGCCACCCCACCACCACCACCACCACCACCGCCACCATCCTACCACCACTACCACTATTCTACCATCACCGTCGCCACCCCACTCCCACATCTGCCACAACAACCATCACTACCACCACTATCCCCTACTATCACCACAACCGTCATTATTACTGCCACCACCACCACTCCCTACTACCCCCACCACCACTATCCCCACCACCACTATAATCACCACACACCGTCACCTCCACCCTATCACCACCGTCATTGTTCAACCATCACCCCTACCACCACTACCCCCATCACCTAACCACCACCCTTATTGCCTCACCACCACCCCTGGTCAACCATCATCCCTACCACCACTGCCTCTATCGCCTCACCACCACCGTTATTGCCTTATCACCACCCTTTATAACCATCACCACTACCACCACTACCAACATTGTTACTGTCGGCACCTCCCGCAACCACCACCGTCGCTACCTTTACCATTGCTCACTCCCATTATAACCGGTGCTTAAATTCTTTTTTCTCTCCTCTATATTTGTGATTTGATTTTAGATGTGAATACAAATATATTTATTGTTGACAATTTTTTTATTACTCTGTACCTTCAACACAGACAATAATTAGTATCATAATAAAAGAAAATATAAGCAACAAGCCTTATTTTGATTTAAAAAAAAAAACAGATTTAACATCTATATGGAGAATTCAAACTTTCAATTCACTTATTGGTGTAAATTTGTACCTTAGATTCAAAACAGAAAGCATTCATTTGGGGTGTGTGCGTGTGATTCTCTTTTGATCATTCTAATTCTTCAATTATTTAAGACTAGTATAAAAGTAATGCTTAGATTGACGAAACATGATATAACAAAAGAAACCAAATAAAGTGAAATTAATATGATAAATAAATAATATTTAAATATTAAAGAAAAATAAATAAATACTACGATATCATTATGATATCATATCATCTTATCCATTTCTTATAATTATTTAACACTATCTTGTGCCCTTTTTATTTTTATTAGTTCGTGCATACGTGTCTTGCATATGGACTTTTTGAGTTAAGATTTTGTTTTTAAAATAATTAAATAAATATAATAGCAAATGTCTACTTAGAAATATAATCTTTTGAATATTCCTATTATATAATTTGTGTAATTTGTAATAAACATAACACTACATGTTTCCATAACGAATATTAATTTTTATTGTTTTATTTTCTCTTAAGTTTTGATGAATTATTTTCTTGTAAACCTCTGCCCTTAAATTTTAAAACTTTTTACATGAAGTTAATTATTTAGATTAATTTTATTTGCAACATCATAGTAATGGTACAAATATATTTTATAGTATGTGGGTATATAAAACTAAAAAATATTGTAAACACTTATTAAATCATAAAAAATATGGAAAGTGAACTATTTTAAGATGTTGGTCATTTAATTATAAATAATTGGTTGAAGAAATTTAAAAAGTTAAGTTGTGATAAGTAATTTAATATGAGACTGAACATATTTGTAGTACTGCTAATTGATACAAATAAAATAGTTTATAGTATTTCCAATAAACATAACTAAAGAGGATTTATTAAAACTGTAACATAAAAAGTGAAGAAAATGAAAATTTAGGATATGATAATATTATCCAAATTATATTAAAATAAATCTTATTCTAAATAAAACTCTGTGTATTTATGTAATTTCATTTGAAAATTCAGAAATCTGTCATCAACTAGTGAAAATAGATAGACATAAATAAAAGTAAATTTAATTATTTTAATAATTAATTTTTGTCTTTTAAAAGAAAGAATATAAAAGACTTAGATATGTATAATATTAATGCAATTTTATTAATATGAATTCTATATTAATAATGTTAGTATTGTGAAAGTAAAGTTATTCAATTAAAAGTTTAACATCAATCAACTATTATTAATATAAGGTTTAAATTAAATAAGGCTAGTATTATCTTTATATATTATTTTAGGGTTAAAGTAGTTAATACAAAAATTTGCTTAATAGTGTACTTTTATTAGTAGTATAAATATAAATTTAGTTTAATGATCAGGTGTGTCTAATTTACGCGCACTTCGATTAATCTCTTTATTGATCCAGTTAAAGATAGATCATCTATATCAATAATAAAATATTCATAAATTTTTTTTTATAATTTAATTTCAAAAAATTGTCCAAATTCAAATAAGACATCTCGATTTAGACATCGCCCCTATAATTGAGTTATCCGGATTCCTTCTTCTGTTTTAAATCCACGTAACGTTGCTTTTTTGACTATTGTAAAGGTCGGAGACTATGGCGGTGGCGGTTTAATTTGGTGCGAAAGTGACCATATGGACCAATATGCATGGAGAACGTTGGTGATCCAGCTGGCATGGAAACGTGGAGCATTCCTCAACCGTTGATTTTTATCAGATCTGGGATCTTGGCTACACAAAACTTCAGCAACTAACGAGAGACCTAATTTAATGATATTAACGGTAAGGGGTAGAAATCGCTACGGATCTCATCCCTCCACTTGAAGGATTTCGGCTTGACCTGGGTTAACCCACGCGGGCGACCCCCCAGTAGCCTTTACCCCTCAGTGCCCGCAGGAGCTTCGTCCCACATCGACTGAGAGTCGTCTCCCCCCTCGCATATAAGCCCTTGCACTCAAAGGAGGAGGTACCCACTAGGCACCTGATCAGGTCGCTAGTGGGTACCTTCAGGTCGCTAGTGGGTACCTCATCCTTTGAGTGCAAGGGCTTATATGCGAGGGGGGATCAGGTCGCTAGTGGATACCTCCTCCTTTGAGTGCAAGGGCTTATATGCGAGGGGGGGAGACGACTCTCAGTCGATGTGGGACGTAGCTCCTGCGGGCACTGAGAGGTAAAGGCTACTGGGGGGTCGCCCGCGTGGGTTAACCCAGGTCAAGCCGAAATCCTTAGTAGAGGGCTCTACCCCTTACAAAAAGGCGCATTTTTGTAAGGGGTAGAAATCGCTACGGATCTCATCCCTCCACTTGAAGGATTTCGACTTGACCTGGGTTAACCCACGCGGGCGACCCCCCAGTAGCCTTTACCCCTCAGTGCCCGCAGGAGCTTCGTCCCACATCGACTAAGAGTCGTCTCCCCCCCTCGCATCAGTGCCTGCAGGAGCTTCGTCCCACATCGACTGAGAGTCGTCTCCCCCCTCGCATATAAGCCCTTGTACTCAAAGGAG